GGGAGACAGCATCGTGAGGCTTGGTGGCTGGGGCGGGTATGCCACTTTAGGGAAGTCAGAGATGGCCTCTGAGCAGGCGACATTTGGACAGAGCCACGTGGAAGTGAGGGATGAGGCGCCTGGAACTTGGACAAAGAACATTTCTATCTGCGGGAGCAGTGAGGGCCAAGGCCTGGAGAAAAGGTGTGGCTAGAACAAAGTAGGTGATGTTGAAAAACTGCCAGCTAGAACGTCACCAAATTCCCAACTTCTGTGCCGACATGGCTCTTTAAGTGCACTGTGGTCCACCTCAAAGAGTACAAGGGAGGCCCCAGTGTTTAGAACCATGAAGAGGGTTGTGCAGAGGAGAGGGTGCTTTGTCCTTTGTGACTTCCTCCAGCAGGCCCGAGGGAGCAAGGGGGCCGTGGGTCCTTAAACTACAGCTTTCTGCAGGGCCCATGAGCATCGGCCCACCCTGAGATGCGTGTGCTTTTTTTTTCTTACCCCAAAGTTCAAGGCATTTTCTTTTTGTTTCTTGTCATTTCTTGTACATACAATGTAGTCTTCTTTTTCCTTGTTTGTGTACTTAACTGGTGGTCCTTACTGTATCTCTTAGGAGCATTAAATCACCCCAAATCCTTGGGAAAATTAGAAGACTATCTTGTGGATATTTTTACAAAGAATAGCAACTGATGGTCTAAAAAAATCCAGTCTTATTAATGGGCTAGAAAATTCTGTTCTTGCCCCATAATTTTACCATATTTTCTTGTATTTCCCACAGTATGTCATAATGCCTTTTTGCTGCCATAAAGTTAGTTTACATTCACATTTCCACAGGAGTATAATGGGGAGAGCCAGGCAGGTTGGGTGTATACTGCATGCTCGTAAGCTGAATTTCTGTTTTAATGAAGGGGTCTTGTGTTTATGAGTAGTTGGTGTATATCTGGGAAGAGTAAAATGAGAATATTGATCAAAATTGTAGAACACTTCAGGATGCAGGAATTCACCAATTTCTATTTTATTGCAGGTATTTCTTGGTGGATTTTTATGCACCAACAACAGTTGTTGACAGTGTAATGGAGCATTTGTCTCGAGATGTCGATGTGATCAGACCAAATGTTGTTAAACACCCTCTGACCCAGGAAGTAAAAGAGTGTGAAGGCATTGTTCCAGTCCCGCTTGAGGAAAAATTATATTCTACAAAGAAGAGGAAGTGAGGCGATTGACTGGATTTTAGCCTTCTATTGAATTGTCTGGGGCCTGAGCAGCATGGGTGAATAGTGAGAAGCTTGGCCTTTATCTGGTGGTGGGGGGTGGGGGGTGCAGGTGCCGATGGCCTTGTGATTCCCTTTGCTGCAAGAGGCGAGAGAACTGCTTGCCTGCTGAGAGCTGCTCTGTAACCTGGGGTACCCACAGTAGGCCATTTTTTATTTCATTTGCATTATGTAATTTCCTAGTCAGTGAGAACTTTCTCCTTAAAACAATAATACAATTTTGAAGAGCA